CTCCTGCAGGGAAAGGGCCGGGATCCCGCGGGGCACGAGGGGCTCCCGCTCCCGTGGCTGCTCCTGCAGGGAAAGGGCCGGGATCCCGCGGGGCAGGAGCGGCTCCCGCTCCCGTGGCTGCTCCTGCAGGGAAAGGGCCGGGATCCCGCGGGGCAGGAGCGGCTCCCGCGCCCGGAGGCTGCCCCCCGCTGCCCGCAGCGGCCCAGGCTCCGCCCCCCGCCGGCCGCGCTCACATGAAGCCGGCGCCGCCCGTCACCAGCAGCCGCTTCTCGAACGGCGGCGGCGCCGCGGCCTCCGCCATCGCGGGCGCTTTACGGCAGCGCCGCCGCCGCCGCCCCGCACCGCGCATGCGCAGTGCCCGCTGCGCCCGGCGCGGGGCGGGGCGGGTGCGAGGGCCCGAGCGAGGGGAAAACGTCGATTTTTAGGTCATTTCTCCCCCGCCCCGCCGCCACCGCGGCGTTTTCACGACGGCGCGCTGCCTTACGGCCGGCCCCCGCGACGGACACGTCGCGGCGGAGGAACGGGCGGGGGGAGGCGCTCGCCGCCTTGGCCCCGCCTCCCCGTGGGCGGGGCGCTGCTCCCATTGGCTGCTGGGCGGCCCGCCCGCGCGCGCGCGCGGCGGCGGCGGCCGTTGGGGGTGACGTGTGCGCGGGGCGGGGCCGCGGCCGGCGCCGGGATGCCGTGGCGGCTGCTGTGGCTGCTGTGCGCGGCCTGCGGCTGCCTCCGCGCCGCCGCCAAGACCCTGCGCGGCGGCTTCGCCAGCGCCGCCGCCCGCCGCGAGCCCTGGCGGCCCGTGGCGCGCTTCCAGTTCCACGGTAGGGGCCTCCGGGGGCGGGCGGCGGCCTCCCGGCCCGACCGTTACGTCGGGTCAGAGCCGTTAGGGCGGCCGCGGGTGGGAGGGGCCGGAGAGTTCAGGGGCTCCCGTGGTGCCCGTTTTTGTTAAYAGAGGCGAGAGGGAAAGAAAATAAAGCAGCGCCGAGGCCGCTCCGAGCGTGTTGTCCTTAGCAGGGAGGGTGTAACTTTTCTAGGGATGTCCTGTTTGCCACCGGGATTACTCGGCTCTAAGCAAGTGAAATGATAGAAGTCCTTTGACTTCTGACAAGAAGTGGCAGTGCTGTTCAGCGCGTTTTTTTTTTTTTTTTTTATAAATTCTCACCTGTTTGCCCTCATGTTTTTTATTTCCTGTGTTAACTTTTCCTTTCCTGTGTTAATAATAATACTCCTTATAATAAAACTATTAATAGTAGTTCCTAACTGCTAAAAACCGTAGCAACGGGACAGAGCCCTGTTGGAATGGACAGAGAGGAAATACGTGTCACAAAAGCCTGAGTTTGCAATGGAAGGTTTGCTCTGCAGAAAGGGATGGCTCGCAAATACAGCGAGCCCTGTAAGCAGCAGCACTCTGCATGCCCATCCTGCATGGTCAGCATTTCAGTAGCTTGTAACTGTTTTCTTTTCATGGTTGGCTCTGTGGCAGAAAAGTTCTGCAGCAGGTCTTGGAAGAGCCGTGACCGTAGGGCTGTGGATGTGTGTGGAGAKTCCTCCCAGCCCACAGCAGTAGTGAGTGGAAAGCGAAAAATACCTGAATGAAGGAAAACGAAAACCAAGAAGTCAATCTGTTTTCTCTGTGCTAAGTGAGAGCTCGAGAGAGAGAAATCGGGTGGGGGAGGTAGGGAGTGACTGGAAAGCAAAGATAATTATTGGTGTCCTAGAGGAGGATGGCAGAAATACCCTAAACGGCTCTGAGGAGAACAAAAGATCTTGCTTGAAGCTGAGACAAGAACATGAAGATTCGAGATGGATATTTTCGGTGTTTGAGTGTGTTTTATTATAGAAGTCTGTGAACGTGGCATCCTTCCTGAGAAATATTTCTCCTTTTGTATGCATGCATATTCCGGGTCTCAGTGAAACCTGTATGAACTTCTTTTTTTTAAGAATGTAATGATAATTTTTCAGTTTTCTTTTTCATTAGAAATATAGGTGACTTGTTTCCCATGTAAATTTTTACAGACATCACTTTTTATCGGTTTTGTGTTGTAGGGCTGCTGTCTTGTGACAGACTCTGAACAGACAAACCTTTCCTGGCAAAGACTTATTTGAAATTGGTAGTTGTCTGTTTACTACTTTATGCCAAGGGTAGGCGGGAAAGGAGGTTATTMTCACACCTTAAAAAAATCTAAAATGGTGCAAGTTTGAATAAATTGAGTTCCTGTAATACTGATTGATTTTTCTCCAGTATATACTTCTAGTCTTGTCAAGCCTTATATTTTAGTTTAGAGCATGTTTAGCACTTAAGTGCCTAGCAGTTTGTAGTGAAAGGGAGTATCACAGTGTGTTTGGGAACTGTTGAATTACTTGGCCATAAGTTGTGTTAAAGGAACTTGTTCTGAAAAGACAAAATATTTCTGCATATTGAGATGAAGTATGTGGCTAGTCTGATTAGAGAGCATTCTGAAGTTTAGTTTTCTGTGTAAATGTGTTAGTAACGATTCCTGTCTTCTCTAAGCAAGTGTTTTAGTTCTGAATATAATGTGAAGATCCATTTCCTCAAGTTCTTCTGGCATTAGACTCGAGAAGGGCTTCGATGCTCTTAATCATGGTAAAAAAGTCGCAAAATAATAGACTTTGCATTTGTTATTGTGACCAATTGTGTCTTTACTTGAACAGGTAAAATTTGGGGTGGATAAAGGAGAAGGTGATGATTTGGAGGTGGAAAGGAGAAGACGTGGAAGAAAAAAGTAGGCTAGAAAAAGACAGTTTGAMGTAGAGTAGGTTTATGATGGCACTTAAATTTTCACCCATTTTTCACTAAGAACTGTGTATTGCCTGACTGTGTTATTGAGGTATTGTAAAACTGTGGGAAGTACAGACTGTTATGGAAAGCAGCGGTAAAACTTTTAGAAACCAAGTGAAACTCTAGTTCTGTCATTTATTACCTGTTGCTTTTCTGCTGTTGTTTGTACAACTGGCGTCAAGGCAAGAGTGGTTATTTTGTTTTTCTGATGCCAAGGTGACCATGCCGTTCTGTGTGTCAGAATCAACAACGTGGCAGTAGCTGTGACCAAGGAAGCCAGGCTTCACCTGTTCAAAGCACAGGAATGGCAGGAGCTGCACAGCGGTGCCCAGCAACACAGCTGTGCAGAGAAGTTCTCTAAAGCTCAGCTGACAAGTGAGTTGCTACTTCTTCCCCCTTAAGATTTCTTATCTATGTATTTAGAGCTAATCTATGAGCTATSTAGAAGTAGATCTATGTTTCACTCTATTCAGACTTTGCATCGACTTAATTGAAAGCAGGACTTCGATCTGCTGGCATTAAATAAAAAGATTGTGAGGAAGTGTGATTGCTTTGCTTGCATCACTGCAGAGGACTTTGTCTGCAAGTTATAACTTAATATATTGCTGGAAAGTGAGCAGTCCATGGCAAGTGGTGGGAGACTTTAATGCAAACGGCCAAATTTCATGGCAGGTTCCAGCCTCATGTTCTCATTTGTGCAGTGCTGAAAGTTACGTGTTTGGATGAACTTTTCATTTACTTATTCAGTACAGAGACTTTTTAATCTCTACTTGGAATAAAATTTTTTCTTATTCTTTCCACTAAAGCTTTTTGTTTATTTGTATAAAGATTATATTTATAAATGTCTGCATCTGCAGTGGACAGAAGTACACTTCGAGTTGTGACTTTCCTTTTTTTTTCGGTAGAACRTTAAACAAACAAAAAAAACAACAACAACAAAAACAAAAACAGATGGAGCCTGCTGCAGGTACCTCTGAAATTCTGAAATGACTGTAAGGTGGGAATGTTTAGTCCAAGGGAAACTTTCTACCTGAAAACTTTTTTTTTCATGTGTTTTGTTTCTTCACGCCCTCTCTTTTTTTTTTTTTTTTTTTTCATTTATGTCTGTAGGCCGTTGGTGAAAATTAATTAGTCTGAGTTATGTGCCTAATTTTACAGTTTGGCTTTATTATCATGTTCTTTTACCCCTTCATTTTATAATATGGGAGATCTTTGAATCTCCCATGTTTTTTTCTTTTCTCATCCTCAGCCATTATCATTAAATTTATTCTAGTGAGTTCATCTATGGCCCACTAATTATTTCATCRTTTCTTCTACAGAGGAAGGCTTTTTTTTGTGGTTGAGCTGACTAACACTAGAGTTCAGTAATCAATGCAACACCACTTGTGACTCTCGCAGTTCAACACACAAAGCTACAGATTTCATTTGCAGCAAATGCTCATTTCAGTGTGTTGTGATGAATAGTTGCCTTTGTTAAGA